AAAGTTTTACAAATTATACCCTGTTTATAAAGTTTTCGATGATATTGATTTAGTTTAGATTTTATTACATAATTTTTAAAAATAATTAAATACTTAAATGCTAAAAGTTTTAATTAGTTTTTATAAGCCAATTGACTTTATCAGAATAAGTTATCTATATTTATAATTTATTGTGGGTATGATTAACGCTACATTTGATAGTTGATAATATTATAGTAATGTCAATTTGTTAGTTTTAATTTTTATTTTACATAACATTCTGTATTAAATTTACAATTACTTTCTAGACCCTACTCCTTTTTAACTGCATAATACTTTTCTATGAAATAAACTTAATTTTAAACTAAAATTGTACTTGTAAAAATAATTATATAGTTTATTTTGAATTCTATGATAATTGAATATATGGGAAAAGTTTTAAAGTGCGCCAAAAAGTTTGAAATTACAAAAGTTAGACGATTGGTTGGGCATATAAAACCTATAAACCCATTCATACCCACACGCGCCCAATAAATTCCATAATTAATTAATTTTTAAACATAATTAGCTTTATAGTACTGGTTTGAAATCATGGTAAAATTTTACCATTTAATTAGATCCAGCTAGATCTTATGGTAAATTCTTAGAGGGTATGTTAACACAGAATATGCCTGTCGTTGCCAAGTCATACGCCCAACTTGTATAGCATGGCGTCGGGATAAGTCTCTCTCCAAACTTTACCTTAAGATTAGTTCATAACAAACGTTTAGTTTTTTGTCACATTTTATGCCCCTTTTGTTGCATTCAGTAATGTATTTGAATGCAAATTACTCGCCTTTTTCAACGCTATATACATGACGTTAATTATGCGTGAAGTGAATGCTCTGTGTTTTTGTCAGTTATTAATATTTTTGCGACCAAAACACAAATTAGTCCTAATTTTGGCGACAATTTTAACCGTAATTAAGAAATAGTGGTCGAAATGGATGAGACATATGAGACCTACTCGTCGATGGCAGACATGAGTCGCCGGGAGTTGTATTCAGTGGTCAACGCATTGAAGAGAGAAAACAATTGTTTGAAAACAGATTTACAGACATTTGCTGTCATTTCGCGGAAATGCAGACAATATTTACGGGATTTGCTAAACAGTGGACACATTGACAGTCACGTCACTCAAGAGATATTGGATTTGCTTGATATGAACGCACAGAAGACTGTCGTCGCTGTCGATGCACTCAATGGTAAGCCAATGGCAATGGCTTTCAATTCATTTCACTTTTCATTATCTATTCATTAGTTCCGCAAAGAAGTGGCACTCAGAGGAATGTAATGTCCTTCAAATTGGAGGCCATGGGAAGCGGTGGTCGACCGCAACTCCAGAGGAATGTTGTGTGGCTTAACCGACAAGAGGTGGACAGCGATGGACACGAGTCGGACGGCGTCACCGGAAGCGCTGATGAGTACGAAGACATGGATGAGAGTCGTGACGACTCCTTAAGGCCGACGACTCCGAAGTCGAAGCGGATTTCATTTGCCACTAATTTGGTTCAATTCAGTGGTCATAATGAAAGCGATGGCACTGAAAGACTGTCTTCGGCTAAGAAACTGTTGGGAACCGCTGTGTGCGGACACCGCGGATGCCATAAGTCGTTCGCCAACTTCCGTAATCTGGATCGCCATCAGTCGGCCACTCATCCGGACATCCGGTTCTTCTGCGACCGCGAGAACTGTTTCGCACACTTCGGAACCGCTGAACGACTGACGGCTCATAAGAGAGACGACAATCACCTCATGGACTGCGAGTCCTACGAGTGCGGACTCAATGGCTGCCAGTTTCGGGCGTTAGCTCGCGATGTCCTCCAGGAGCACATCAGTTGCCATACGTTCGACGATCTAATGAGTGATAAGTTCTTCGTTTGCGATTTCCGTGGCTGTGAGAAGCAGTTCCGACGCCTGGACTACCTAATGGTGCATAAAAAACGCCATAAAAGCGCGGATTACCGGTGCGATGTCGACGACTGTGGCACACTGTTTCCCAGTCATCTGGAACTGGTGGAGCACTTGCAGATGGTTCACGAGAGATACCTGTGCGATGTGGACGGCTGTGACTTCATTACGGACCTCGAGAGCGAAGTACTGTCACATCAACTGATCCACAAGACTGACAGCCAAGAGGTGGACATGGATTTAGACGACAGTTCGAAAGGAAAGCCTAAACGAGAGCACGAAGACAGTGGCGACGAATCAGATGCCGATTCCACACCAAAAGCTACGAAAAGGAATAAAACGAATGGACAGTATGTCTGTGAGTACGAGGGTTGCTATAAGTCGTACACCGACACGAGGAGTCTTCGAGAGCACGAGTCGACACATTCGGGCAAAAGATTTTATTGCGATTACAAGGGCTGTTGCAAACACTTCGCGTTCTCGCGATCGGTTCGCTTGCATAAGAAGTCCGGTAACCATGTGGTGGGACAGCCCTACGAGTGCTCTGAGACGGGCTGTACTTTCACGACAAAAACCAAAAGTGTTTTAGAGAAACATATATCCAATC